AATGAAAGATGTTGAAGAACTCTTTTCCATTGTCCTGTTTTTCCAGGTATCAGAAATTCAAAAGACTCTTCATGCCTGAGTAACATCAGTATAGAGGATAACGTAGCTGCTATTCAGGGCATGATAGCAGATGCAGTGCCCAGGAAGGTATGCTAAATGCCAAAGAGGGACTGACCCAACCAATCCATGATCAGATCCCTCCTGAGAAAGCTGTATGTGAATCCATCCCTCTGCTTCCTGAAGCAGGAAGTTTTCTATCTTTATTAGACTCACTGGCCAGAAGTTCCCAAGTGCTGTTCAAAATTCAGTGCTCCAAATTGTTAGGGAATATCGCTTCAAGTTTCTTCATCTGTCTGATTGGTGTTCTGCAATACACATATGAAAACACAGGCTTCAGCATAGCTCTTTTGCAGAACACCTGCACTTCATAAAAGTCCCTGTATGCAAACAGTAGTGGTATAACCATGAATGCCTTCCACCTGCTACTAACATTGCTGGTGAAGTTTTCAAGTGCCAGAAGATAACCTTATTTTCTCTTAGTTCTTTAAGGAAGGCCCAACTTGCTGTTTTCACTTGTTAAGATAATTTGTTGGAAACAACATTCTAAACAAAGTTTATAAAAAGAAAATTAAGTAAATATAGGTGTGCTGAGGTTAATCACTATCTTCTGGAGAGTGTCCTTCGTGTAGCATAATGCTTTTTTTAATATTTAATTTTAAATATTTTTAAATATTTAGAGTGTATCAAATGGGATATTTCCTGGTGAATTAGATTTGAGGCTCCTTCCCTTTCAGCCAGTTTATAACATGCTGTGAGCTTCAGTGAGTCCTGATTTCTTATAGAGAATATTTTAATCTGCTCACCTCCAAAATACAGGTCTAATAAGTTTTTTTTAAAAGGGTTTATTCATGTTAGTCTTACGATAGACGTATACTGTTGTTCCGATGGCATTATTATTTTATGAGTGGAGAGATGTGATGCTTTCCGTGATATAAGCTCTTCAAATGAAGTCTTATTTTCATGTCAGGCCAGTCCTTCAGGAACTATGTTGCTAGATTTGAAGTTGTCTTCTTCTTTCTCTGTTTCATTATAGGGCAGGAAAGTATTCAATGCCTATTGTGTATATCTTCCAAAAGATTGGAGAGTAAAGGAAATGTTAGCCAAAAACCCTTTTACACATGTGTTTTCTTATGAAAAGGGGGCTATGGATCAAGGATATGATTGATTCTAGGTAACTATAAAAACAAAAATTCATTTAACGTGTTTGAGAGCTCTGCTCCCAGGATGGTTCCCAAGACCCCTGTGGAAAGGAGAGAAGTATAGGAAGGAACTCTTCCTTCCAGGATTTCATTTATCATGCTCATACTGGCATGTAGAATTCCAGCATACAGCATCAGTTTTTATTTCTTGTTATAGTTCTCGTTTCTTAATCTCAAGAAGACCCTCCCAGTCAACAAGTACAATATTTATAAAATTTATGATTTCTCAAGTTACTTCAAGATTAGCAGTGTGGCTGTTCTATTCTTAAGGCACTATGGAAGTTAAAGAACTGAAAATGTAAATATTACATCTGCCATTGCCTTAGGCCTCTGAGCTAGTGTTCTTTCTTTTTTGGTGTTTTTGGTGAATGCTTACATCTTAGGTTAAATTATTTGAGAAAAATAAACCTAACAATGTTTCTAATTATTTAATAAAATAATCACAAAACCAAACATAGTCTGTAATAAAAATAATCCCCTCTAATTTGTTGTCTTGTTTTGGTTTGACTAGAAACATGGGCCCCACGGTGGAAAAATAAAAACCCAAATAACTTTCTTTACATGAATTATTTGTCATTCCATAATAGTAATCATTTGTCATTCCATAATAGTAATCAATAGTATCACAATGATTTGGCCAGAAATTTTCTTTAGTAGAGCCTTAAAATGGGAGACAGCAAGAAAGAAATGAAAAAGAATTGTGTTTCCGACACTGCATGGCCTTTGGGTGTTAAGAGCAGGAGGCAGACACTGTTCCCAATGTCTTCTCTTGCTAGGTGGAGTTAGTACTTGAGATGCTGAGCTATGTCTGGGGAGGCAAAGAGATTGTGGGAGTGGTTTATAACTCCTGAAAAGACCCGTATCTTCACTTCTTGTTCATTGATTCCTTCAGCAGCAGACTATAGGTCCACTCAGAGTAGAGTTTTCCCCTCAGTGAACCTGATAGGATGATGACTCTATTACCTGCTTTCTGAGGTTGACTTCTCCAGAGCAAGAATAGGTCACAAACCTTACTCATACTTTATTTAATTCTTTTACTTCTTCATTCTTTCCACAGATACCTACTGGGGCTACTATACTGGCCACAGACACAATAGTAATAGCCTATTTCCTCTTTGTTTTATTTTATTTTATTTATTTGAGACAGAGTTTCACTCTCGTTGCCCAGACTGGAGTGCAATGGAGTGATCTCCGCTCACTGCAGCCTCCCCCTCCAGGGTTCAAGTGATTCTCCTGCCTCAGCCTCCCGAGAAGGTGAGATTACAGGAGTGTGCCCCCACACCCAGCTAATTTTATATTTTTAGTAGAGATGGGATTTCTCCACGTTGGTCAGTCTGGTCTTGAACTCTCGACCTCGGGTGATCCACCCACCTCAGCCTCCCAAAGTGCCAGAATTTACAGGCGTGAGCCACTGCGCCTGACCTCCTCTTCGTTTTAGATTACATGTGATAATACCGTCAATCTGAACAGGAGAAAATATGATATAAATGGTATTTTGCTGAAATAATTACAGTGTTCATGGTGCTCATATATATTAAAGGTTTTAAGTGAAAAATGAATTATAATTGCTATATTATGTTGATAAAAGAAATCCAATGTAAAAGTAATAACGGCGTGACAAAGTTGAATATTGTCATGCAAGAAAAGAACAAAGTTGAACTTTAGTTGTTTCCCTCTTCTCCATTATTGATAGCATCTTCCACTTCTGTGCTACTTCCCCTGGGAGCCACGTATCTTACCCAATTTTACCTTAAGGATAAATTGTATGGGGTTAATAATAAAGAGCTGAAATAAGTCTAAGAGGAGCCACTATACTAGGAAAGAATGTTAAAAATGTGTATGCTGTCAAAAATGTATTTATGATAGTGTATGTAACTGTTTTTCTATGAGTTGGATTTTCTGTCATTAAGGGACTATACAGTACTTTTTCTGATGTGCCTTGAAATGCAAACTCTTCTGTTAACACTTGTCTGTAACTCTTCTGTAACATTTCTTTAACGGCTTAACCCTCGCTACTGGCATGGAAGTTCCATGAGTGCAAACAGTTGTCGTTTCCTGGCCATATCCCTGGCACCTGTACCTGGCACACAGTGGAAACTCAATGACTATTTGCTGAATGCTCTGAATCTTACATTCTACATCATGACATGCCTTTTTATGGGACCCTATGGCTTCCACAACATTTTTACTGAGGTTAATCTCATTGGACCAACTTGGTGAGAAAGGCAGGACAGGTATTTCATCCTGTGAATAAAGTTGCAGTTCAAGTGAGCTACAACAGGACTAAGATAGGAGAATGTAAAAGTCATAATAGTCCATTGATGTTTTTATATCAATCATTCATCATCCAGTAAATGCTTATTATTGTTGTAGGCCAGCCTCTGTGCTAAATATTGTAACCGAATAACCTTATCAAACTCTTATAACAATTTCATGATATAGTACTATTATTATTATTATTATTATTCTCATTTATGGATAAACTGAGGCACAATGAAGTTAGCGGCACAGCTAGTAAAACCCAGCGCTGGGATGTTGGCTCAGGCAGTGTGAGTTCACAGCCACAGCTCTCAGTGTTGCCTAACTACTGCTCTACATTTTTAGGGTGTTCTAGCAGTGTGCATATATGAGCCAAATAACTAATTACCATGGTGACTTCTTACTGACTTCATTAAATTATTTGTTGTTATTATTATAATAGATGCTTGTTTGAATACTTCTATATGTTAATAAGCCAGAAATGATCGTTATAGGTCTGAGTAAAGAGACAATGCAAGATGGAAATGAGAGAGAGATGTAAAACAAGGCAGTCAGACAGGTTGCCAAGATTATAAGAGAGGCGGATCAGTTGGCATCCTTCTAGTATGGAATAAGGCACCTCCCAGGTAATGGAGAACGAGTCTGAAAACAATGTATTCAAGGCAGCTTGATATTCGTGAGGTCAGGCCCTACCTACTGTCTTGTAAAACGGTCTACAGTTGGAGAAGAGACTGCCTAGTATCAACCAAATGATATGATCATGGCATTAGAACTCAGCAGTGTGGCTCTTTAATGAATGTTCTAAATTGCCTATAATAGTACAAGGGTTTCGAAGTTCTGGGGTGAAAACACTGTCTCCACCATGAGCTCCCCTCAACTACTTGAGAAGGAATGCACCTCACCTTGAGTTGACTCAAGTGCCTACAGCAGCTGATAACACATTAAATGAGCCTTTGCCTCAAAGGGAACAGAAGCCTAAAGATAATTTCACTACCAGTAAGCCACAGTCAGTGAGCATATGAGGATTACTTATGCAGGGTGAATACACTAAAATTAAAATTGTTCTAAATGGAGTCTGACATACATAGCAAAATGAAAAGGGAAAGGGAGAGCAGAATCATTAACATTACTTACAACCTGTAAAAACCAACAGCTAAATTCCATGATGGCAAAATAGACTAACGGACCTTAGATCTCCTCCACCTTTGCTGATATTTGCTGGTGTGGCCTGGGCAAGACATCACCTCTAAATCATTATTCTCATGTTGGTTATGTTCTATAGGTCAAATATCTAATTATACCTAAGATAAATAGGTAACTTTATCCAATACTGTTTATATTTTTCAAATACATGAATTGAAATATGTGTCTGATGTATAATGCATGCTACTTTAACATTTTCATGTCATTTTGGTACTTCTGAAAGTTATTCTCATATGCACTGCAAGTCATTTTTCCTTAATCAAATTGTCTCTTTTATAGAGCAAATTGGTCAGGAGATGTTGGAAAACCTTAGTCATGACAGAGAAAAGATACAGCGAGCACGTGAAAGAGTAAGTACAAGTGATACAGTTTTTCATATATTCAGTAAATGAAGACATAAATGAAAGGCACTGTGACATAAACAATAGCAATTGGGTAGATGTGTGTATCTAAGGTGAAAGAGGGTATAAGATCTGCGCAAAGTAAAAGAAAGAGGCTGAGATGGAGGAAAGCTGACTCTATGTCACCATCCCAGAATGCTCCCGGGGGGTGTTTTAGTTACTTCTTATAGAGGAGATGGTCACTGAGGGAGATTTTGGAGTACATCCATCCTTTAGAGTGAAAACTGTAAAATTATTGGGGGTCTTCTTTCCGTAATTCATTTTTGTTAATGTTTTTAGGAGTTTGTGCATTCATAAGTTGGAGATGAATTACCAAATGTATATGAAACTTTTTCAGCCTATGTTCGGTTATAGTACCCATCTTAAAGCTTCCAGGACTACCTCTCACGTGTCATTCTCCAAATCTAAGAATTTTCCAAGTTTGTGTAGCTGTCAGAAATGTATTTATTTTTGTATATTTGAACATTTTTATTGTTTGGATTTTCTATCATGAAATAAATTGTCGCTTGCCATGCACTTTAGGAATAATCCAATTGCATGAACTTTTTGTTTTGTTTTAATATTGCTGTTCTCCTCGTAGCTTCGGGAAACAGATGCTAATTTGGGAAAAAGCTCCAGGATTCTGACGGGGATGTTGCGAAGGTAAGAGCAAGGTAGGGACCTATCTTTCTCTCTGTCTCTTTTTAAAAATACTATGTTTTCATTCCATTGCAACAGGGCATATTACGGGCTTTTGAGCTTCTGCTCTTAGTACCCTGTGTCAGGACCCTTTTAAAATAACAGAGCACGGATACTAACTCTTGTTTGGACAGGGACACATATTAACATACATTAGAGAGAAGGCTTGAGCTAGGGGGGTAACCTCAAGCTATGGAAAAAATTAGGGTTAGACATGAAGTATTTTTTTATAGCCTGAGGAAGGCCCCATGGCAGGAGCAGGCTGGTTTTATTTTCTATTTCGTTGGCCTTGTTCTCATGGAGGGAATACAGACCTGCCGTTTTCAGGAGCACACTTGCTATTAGCTTTGCTCTCTGTTGCCTTGTTTTCATTTCTTTAAGTGATGCTGTTTGGGGAAACACTTCTGTTTTATGTATGCACTTAAAGATGATTTATAAAGCGTCAGGATTATCTGAATAATATGAATTCATTGAGTTAGCGAACAAACATTCATGTTTTATATGTGTAACTCAACTTTGATTGACAGAAAATAAGCTAAATAGGATGAGAAAATAAATGAATGAATGTAGGTAATGTTCTTATAAGTACATTCAGCCTGAAATTATTTCACATTCAGAATCTACTAAATAAAAATATCATCTAGCATGACTGTCAGTTTGGAACTGTGGATAGAAAAGTGAACCAACCAGAAACACTGAGAATGGCCTCTGGAATGGCTTAATTAGAATTTTAAAGAAGGAAATCTTTATAGTTGATACTGTAGAGGCAACCATCTAAAAATAACTGGTCTTCTCTGATCACGTATTCATATACAATAATTTGCTAAAAGTATATTTGCTGTGTTACAGATTTATTGCATAAGAACCAATCAAATGTCTAGTGGTTTGATCTTCAAGGCTGATAAGATTTTTCTAAGCAGCCTGACCAGTAGCAAGCCTAAAGTTCTTGGGACATTTTTAGCCAAGGCTGGCATAATGTGACATTCCCCCTCCTTTTCTTGAACCGCCCCCCACCTCAACTCAGAATCATAAGCCACCAAATTCTCTGATTAAGAGTAATATGTAAATGGCCTAAGAAAAACTCAGAATTCACAGAGAAGGAAAGTGGTGATTGAAAGAAATGCTTCAATGCCTATAGACAATAAAAAAGAAAGGGGAGGGGAGGGGGAAAACCTCTGTTGCTTCCCTGGGAGGGCTCCTGCGTTGTGAGCTGTAACGAATATTCTGCATATGTCTCCATTTTGTCAAATCTTATTAAAGAGTCCTCCTGCTTTATGTCAATTGAGCTGTCTAGAAATCATTCATCATTTTTAGTGTAAAAAAATGCATGTGGTTATTTAAATAATATCATATTAATGTTAAAGTTCAGCTGTCATTTAATGGTATGGTTTAATCAGATGTAGCATTTAGGAAAAATAGTTTATGTGGGCTCTATGTGGCTTTCAGGTTGGCAGATTCAAATAAGGATTTATGGGTTTCGAAACCAATGTATTTCTGTCCATGTTTCTGCTTGATGTACCTCACCCTTTAGTGCAGGACACTGCAGACAGTTATTTCAACAAATAAAGCATCTCCTCATATTGTGTTTGAATAAATTTGCAAGTCATTTAGAGAGGGTGAAGCACAAACAACTTCTGCAACCTGTGACTGGGCTTTCTATAGGGAAATCATAGTAACGTGGTTGTTTCAGAAGCCTACGCAAGAAAATAACTCTGGTGAAATCTACATGGGGCTCTCTTTGTAGGCAAACTCAGTCAATCACTGACTCATCTTCTTTTGGGATGTGTCTAGAGTCTAAACAGAAATAAATATTCCTAGATGGACATCACCTTGCTACATCTGAACCAAGGGTACTCTTAAGTCCACCTGTTCATATGCATGACAATATTTTTCACTAGGCACAGCTGGGATCTTGGTATCTGCCAGGATATTCAAGTATTTTCAACCAATGCCATAACCTGATAGGGTCTCTGGGGACCAAATGCAGCGGTGGTTTTGTTTTAGTTTCTAATTACCATCCCATATGATATACCATGTATTTTGGACTTGCGAAGAGGCACAAACATTTTACCAACCTCTCTGCTTCATTGTTTTGGTTATCTCATAGGAATGCTCTCTCTAGAGAAGTAGAAGCAGGGTTTATGTCCCAAAGCCTTGTATTGAATGCTCTGATTTTGCTTTCCCTGTTATATCCCTCCCATTCATATGGCTTTTGCTTCCAGCCCTGATAAGCTTTTATTTCAGAAAGAAAAGCCGCATTCTCTCACTCTTCCTCTCACCAAAACTACATAGCTGTGTTGTGTGTCAACAAGTGCTTCTAATTTAAGAAATGTTATGATATTGAATCATGTGCTCATCTTCACAAATGTAAAAAGAAATGAATGTACTCTTTGTGCAGTGGGAGCATTTACCTGCGTATAACATAAGCTTAATTATTTTCATATGATAAATTCCATGTGTCTGAAAATAGTTAAATATTCTATAGTATACCAAACCAAGGAATTGCTTTATTTAAAAGAAAGATTACAGATCATTTTTTAAATGTTTTAAACCTTGATTGTTCTGAAATTTGTAAAGTGAACAGAAATGGCTTAGCCTGGCTCCTCATTTGAGTCATTTTGCATATGGTCTGTTGTGAAGACAGGTGAAAACTGTGTTCCATTGGTACCAGGATCCGTGCATATGTCCACTTGATTATCTGTAAAACTTGCCAAAAGCAAGTTTTCCCCATTTCAATGGGGAAATTGAAATTAGTAAGCAATAAAAAATAAGTTTATAAAATCCAGCAGCCACTAAATAATCATCTACCACTCATGTTTTTTAATCTTTTATTAATTCAAATAAGGTAAACATCTATTTCCTTCCTTCTTTCCTTTCTTCTTTTCTTTCTTCTGCTTACTCATTTTCTTAGTAAATATTTAATGTATGTATGCCAGTGCTGGGGATCCTGAAATGAAACCAATTTTATCCTCACTACTTCAGTGTAGTAGAGAATGTATGCATAAAAATGTACTATGGAAATTCACAAAATGAACGGATTCTCATGGCAACTATTGATGATTCTGAAGCTCCAGTTAGTCCTTGCTGGTAATTAAAAGGGACACCAGGAAAACAAATAACTAATAAAAGATATGAGTTAAATCACCATAAAGCCAATGTGTTTGGAAAAAAGTAGGGAAATAGAAAATGGTTTATGGAATCCTAACAAATTTTGAAAAGAACTCAGGTATACACAAAAAATTGACATGTAACATGAAGTTTAGTGAAAAAGCAACTGATTCAACCAAAAAGAAATTGCTCTTCGTGTAAGCAAACCATACTACCAAAAGAAAGAAAACAAAGGAGAAAATTGACTCATTCAAAATTATAATATTAAAACTCGCCATCAGAACGCAGCTATGGCTGATTTCCTGGAAAGTAACTTTTCTTCTATCCGACGTAAGATGGAGAGCTATCTAGGGACAAACTGTGCATTCCCTAACTCTGTAGACAGAGTTTAAGTAAAGTGGAATTCAGATAATAATGAAAATGGTCATGAAACAAATGACCATTGATGTTGTAACTGGGTCCAAGAAATGGATTTTTTCATTGATTTTCACAAAATTTGATGATTGTACTTGGCTGTCTTCAAGTGTCACAGTATCATTGGGAGGTTTAAATGTTGCTCTTCATAGATATGTATTTATTTGTGTGTTTACGTGTGTATTTTTTCTATACCTTTGAGCAGAAAGTCTTATTCATTCAAACTGTTGGGAATCAGTAAAAATGAAAATTAAGATTTTCAAGATTCTGAGTCAGAATAAAAAGAAATCATGATTCTATTTCCTTTTACCTCTGAAGAGGTAATGATTGATCACTAATTGTTTATTTGTTTCTAAAAGTATATGAACAATGCCTCAGGAATGTAACAAAGTTATGGTTTAAGGGTTCTACTGTCAGAAATTTACAGGACATGTTACAACTGCACCCTGGCTCCTCCACTGCATTGTATATGCTGGCAAAGGGCTTATTTTAAAAATGGCATAGGCCAGGTGTGGTGGCTCACGGCCATAATCCCAGCACTTTGGGAGGCAAAGGCAGGCAGATCACTTGATGCCAGGAGTTCAAAACCAGCTTGGCCAACATGGTGAAGCCTCATCTCTATTAAAAAATAGAAAAAAAAGTAGCCAGTTGCATTAGCTAGTAATCCCAGCTACATGAGAATCGCTTCAGCCTGGGAGGCAACAATTTGTAGTGAGCCAAGACTGTAGCACTGCACTCCAGCCTGGGGGACAGAGTGAGACTCCATCTCCAAAAATAAAAAAAAAGAAAAGAAAAAAGAGAAATGACATAGATGATTGTTTAACACATATTCAGTTTGATAATCTCAAATCAAATAATTTCCTCTCTCCCTCACACTACCTATATTCACCCCAACTATTTACACACACACACACACACACACACACACACACACACACTCTCTCTCTCTCTCTCTTTCCCTCTCTCTCTCTCTCTCTCTTTCTCTCTCTCAGATTGTGTTCTTCAGAAAGTGAATTTTGTTTGTCCTTGCAGTAAGAGTATGGTTAGCTTCTTTATTTATGGAGCTGCTGAGAGGTCTTTTGTAACTAATCTGTAATATAAACAGAGCAGACAGCATTAAATGCAGTTGACCTAGCTGGCATCATTCATACAATATTATTTAATACACATATTTTTGTTAGAGTTACTTTCGAGTCAGCCTGGGGAGTCATTGCCACTTATCATTGCTATCATATTTTAAACAAAGTCTTACTTTGGTAGAATGACAGGTAAAACATCTGGAAAGCTTAAATCCACTGTCAGAATGATTTCTAGGAGTAAGTATACTAGGAATGCCAATGTAAGATCTGTAAATTATAGAAATATAATTTTTAAAATAAAAAAGGTTTAATCTTACATATACCATGGCTAGATGTTTAAGCTTCTTTTAAAAACTCATTCTT